GGTTGAGTGTTGACCTTTGAACTAGGAGATCACAGTTCGATTCCCAGTCAGGGCACATGCCCAGATTGCAGGCTCAGTTCCCAGTAGGGGATGTGCAGGAGGTAGCTGATCAATGATTCTCTCTCATTATTGATGTTTCTATCTCTCTCCCTTCCTCTCTGAAATCAATAAAAATATATTAAAATTAATAATTGTTTAAATAAAAAGCATCCTTTGGATGAGCTAGGGCACCTCTCCCCCCATCTCTCCCACCTCCCTGGATAGTTAAATAGATAAGTCTTTAAAATTCAAGAGGTGTCAGTCAACACATACTCCTGATATTCCTACACTAGATGGACTTCAGCTCTGACACCGAGAGCCTGAATTGATCAACCTAATCAGTGAGCACATCTCCACTCTGCTTTTGCTGGGTGGACCAGCCTCGGCAAGCACAGATGCTGGACAATGTTATAGAAATAGTTCCCGGCTGCTGCAGGGTAATGTGATTACACGTATTTAGAATCGCAGAGGGAGGCCAAGGAACTGGTTTTTAAATAGCCCACACAGAGTGTGTGCCATGCCCCTGTGTCCCATGCTCCGAGTTCCTATGGAACATTCCAGCCCTTATTTCTGAAAGCAGTTCAGGTTTCAGAAATAACAAAAGGGAGAGTAATTCCCACCCTGTAGGTCCTTACTTAACTCACATTGGCTAACTTCCACATGACGGATTTATGCTGGGGCTGATCTTATGCAGAATGGCCAGGGGTCAAAGTTTGTCTCTAATCTCCAGGACCCTGTTTCTGAAAGATTTTGCTCCCATTCTTCCTGCCCGGCGTCCTCTGCTTCCTCCCATCTTTCCTGAGGAAATAGTAAGTTCATTTTCGCTGAAGAAATAAATGCTAAGGCTCCAAATGTGAATTGCGCCGTAATCATAGCAGTGGTGGATATGGATGGTTCACAGACAAAGAGAGTTCTTCTGTGACACAGAGCCATCTAGTGCTCTGGAAACCCGCTATGGGCTGCACCCCCCATTAGGACAAGATGACCAACGGGCCCTAATTGGCCTTTGCATGACTTTTGC